TAGGGTCAGGGGTGGACTGACCATTCGAGCACTCAGGCACTGCCCGAGGGCCCAGGGTCAGTAGAGGGCCCCATGAAATGCCCCTGGCACCTTTTTTATAGGCTTTTTGGGTGCGCTTTGAGTGTGGGTAAGGACACAGGGGCCCCATGATCCCCTATTGCCCGGGGGCCCCATGAGTTGTCAGTCCACCCCTGCTTAGGGGTTTGGAATCTATAGGAGTCTTGCTAGTGACATCACTACGAATTCCAGGCACTAACATATTCAACAGAGAGGGTTGATTTACCAAAGGCAAATAGGCTGTTTGTAAGTGCAGTTGCACTCTTTAAGGGCATTTGCTTTAGAGCTTAGTAAATAAAGTGAATCTTCTCTTGCAAAGAATACCCAATTCCATGCAAAGAAAAAAAAAACAGCTTTTTTGCTTGAGCATAATTGGATGATGAAAGTCAGTAGCACCCCTCATCCCCTCATTTACTAAGTTCTGGAGCAAATTAATTTCCAGTGTGCAACTACACTTGCAAAGTGCACAGTCTGTTTGCCTTTAGTAAATCAACCACTAAGTGCGAATATACAAACAGTAAAGCAATAAAACACAAGGAGTTCACTTTGTTAGTTAGACCAATCTAAGATAGATTTGTATTAGGTAATATGGTGTTGCTCTTTGCATTTAACACCTTGGCTTTTGCACTGTATTATTAAAAAAGCTAAAAAAATGTAGAATGCAACCTCTCAAACAGGCTACTTTATTACTTACTACATGAAGTCACTGTCACAGCCTGCTCATGATAATGCTTAATAATGTAATAAGATGAAAGGAGATAACAAAGTAAGGACTATGCTATTTTTTAAAATAAAACGTTTATTGGTCACATTGTACATAAACATAATTTTATGAAAGATTTTACCGTTATGTTTACATGGTACAAAAATTACATACATAATACCACAAACATACATGTGACATTCATTTTAGTCAACTGAATCATGAAGCTGGTAAAAGAATAGACCAATTTCCTATTGATAGGAATATTAACTGATGGTAGAAATAAAAAAAAACAGAAAATAATATATGTTTTATAAAAATTCATATATACATGTGAGAACATCTATACAAATAATAATACAATCTATTTAAAAAAATAACTAACATTTCTGAATAATAAAGTGATTGTAAGGTAAGAATATGTAATGAATATGAGCTATATATACTGTATTATTTATCCTTTGTTGTGACATTTGAAAGCATATTCATTTTCTGTTGATATTATAAGATTTACAAGAGTTTTCTTTTGATGTTTTGGAACAAATAGTTTGTTGCATATCAATGTAATCACAACAATAATTTTAATTTGTATACTTCCCTATTAGCTTACTTTCTATGATATCTGCATGTGCCTTAACTCTTTGATCTGGGTCTAACCTCTCAACTCTCACAATTCAAAGTGCATTTCTCTATAGGTCGCTGGGATACTTTCGTGAAGCATTGTCAAGAACTGAAACCATGAAAAGGATTTTTTTTTATAATAACAGCTTTGCTTTATACCATATATACAAATCTATAGATATTACGCATACAGCATAAAAACATGAATCCAGATCCATTTCACAGAGAAATAGCATTACAGTTATGTTTCAAGAAATTTTGTGGTGATAAGAGATGATAGTCCATATGTCCAGAAGCACAATTCCTGTTGGGGAACATGAACATAGGATTAGAATAGGAAACTCAAAATAAACATAATCAAAATACATCTTGTCTAAAATTTGTTTCCTAGAGCAAGCAGAATGTAAACTCACATTTTAAACATCATACAATTTACTAAAAGAAAAGAGAATGCTCAGCCTAGTGGATGCAATTAACCAACCACATGCAAGACAAAATCCTGTTTTTTTTTGTTTTTTTTTACATATGCACATGATTTAGTATTCTGAGGAAATGCAGGTTCACCCTATTCTCTTGACCTAGTGAACATTCTTTACTTCTTTAGTAAATCTAGCTCAATCATTGTGTAGCTATAAACATCAGGTTGATTTTCTGGGAATAGAGAGTATTTACTTAGCATAGGGAATATTTGCAAAGCTGTGTATATAGAATGAAGCTCTGTTTACCTCCATCAACCAATCATGTGCTAGTAAAATCCTTATTTTTCATTTCACTACTGAATATTTACTTTTATTTAATTTTTTAAACATATTAACCTATGTGATTATTTTAACCACTTGCCATTTGGGTCAATTTTAAATTTTTCACATGCATGTTAAAAAATTAACATGTTTGTGCTAGAAAATTTACAACCGTAAATGTATTTTTTTTCTAAAAGCAGAAGCCCTGAAGAATAAAATGGAGGTTGTTGCACTTTTTTTATGTTGCACAATGTTTGCACAAGGAATTTTTAAAATGCAATTTGTCAGGAAATTATACACTTTTACTGCACACAAACACAATATAATACCCCCTTTTTTTAAAAGAAGTATAAAAGATTATGTTGCGCTGAGAAAATAGGTACCAAACATGTCAAGATTTTAAATTGCTCAAACCTGTGAATTGGCAGCAAACTACATTACCTAAATTGTCCATAGGCAATGCTTTAAAAGTCTTTACATGTTAACAGTTTAGATTTAAAGATGAGCTCTGGCCCTAGAATGATTGATTTCATTGATGGTTGCAGTGATACCTCACATCTGTGTGCAGCCATTGTTTACATATGTGTGTGGTACCTACATGCACATTTGCATTTGCACATAAGCATGGTGGATGCGGGCACTCTAAAATACTTATTTTTCATTTTTGTTACTTAAATGTTTTTTTTTTACACTTTTTTTTCATTAAACAACACCTGTGTGATAGCTTGGGCAGTGACAGATTCTCTTTATGGAGAGATATGGGGTCTCTTGGACCCCTGACCCCTCCTCTGCCCTTCAAGGCACTAGCCAGGTAAACAGAGAACTGAAACTGAAAGTGACACAATCTACATTGCTTTAGGCTTCATTAATCACAGGGGAAGGGGACGAACAGATATTTCTCCTTCTCCTCTATGTGCTGCTGACCTGACCGCTTACAGCAGTCCCAGGTTCCAAGATGGAATAGGACAGCCTGTGAACTGTGGTGTGTGGTAGGAGGGAGGCTATCTCCAAGCCCTATAAATATGATCAGGCAGCTGTACAGCTGCTCGGATCACTTTTACAGTGAAGCCAATCGATAGCTCTAAAAAATAATACCAGGATCATGGCTGCAGCTATGACCCTGGCATAACTGCTTCCAGTTCAGAATGTATACATACTACATATCGTATTTATATATAATATATTCAATGGACAGAGAGCGGTTATTATGTATCCATGAAGTAACATTTGATACAACATAAAAAAGGTTGATATAATACAGTGTTAACTTTGCTTAGCAAACACAATAAAGCTCTGTTCAGGTCAGTCCTCTAATCATTTGTTTCAGGTACTTATATAGCGCCATCAATTTACGCAGTACTTTACATACACATATATATATATATATATATATATATATATATATATATATATATATATATATATATATATTCACATCAGTCACTAACACTATTTATTTCAGATACTTATATAGTGCCATTAATTTACACAGCGCTTTACATATATACTGTACATTCACACATTCACACCTGTCCCTAACCCTCAAGGGGCGTACAAACTAAGCTACTTAACTCACATTCATACATACACATACTAGGGCCAATTTAGACAGGATCCAATTAACCTACCAGCATGTCTTTGTAGTGGGGGAGGAAACTGGAGTAAACCCACACAGGCACAGGGAGAACATGCAAACTCCAGGCAGGTGGTGCTGTGGTTGGGATTTGAATCAATGACCCTATTACCAACTGGTGGAATTGCTAACCATTTAGCCACTGTGCTAAGTCCTTTTTTTTTTTAAAGTACTTTCACATGACTGGGTAAGCAGAAAAAGTGAATAATGTGAAGCCTAGTTCACTTCAATCATCAAATCATTTGCAAGAAAAAAAGTATATACAGTATATTTTTTAATTTCCTTGGCATTCCCTGATTAGGTATTCAGGATAAACCCAGCCTCGCCTCATTTACTAAGCTAAATGAACATTGTTTTGCTAAGTGAACAGTCTCTTCTCATTTAACAGCTTGCCGACCGCCTTATAGCAGAAATATTGCTACAGGGTGTCAGCGGTGTGCAAAATCATGTATATATACGTGTTTTTGCATGTGACACTGTTCGTGGCTGCGGCTGTCAATCACCAGGTCCCGGCCGGTGATTACCCCCTGGCACCCAGTGATTACCAAGCATCTCCAACGGGGAGGAAGACTGTTTTGTTTACAAAAAGTCTTCCTCCCTGTCAGCTCGGCACACTGCTCCGGATGGTTGTGCACAGCACAGCCATCCCGAGCAGTGTGCTTACAGTGAAGCACACACCCACTGCCCACTAGTAAAACTCTCCCTACATATAGATAACCCTTTGATCACCTCTCATGTTAACTCCTTCCTGCCCAGTGCCACTAGTACAGTGTCAGTGCTTTTTTTAGCACTGATCACTGTATTGGTGTCACTGGGGATGCCAGTGACACCAAGTCAGTTCCCCCCAGTGTCAGAATGTCTGTTGCAGTCCCTTTAAAAGTCGCTAATTGCCGCCATTACTAGAGAAAAAAAATATATACAAAATCCCTGTATCTATACCGCCATTTGTAAACGCTATGACTTTCACGTAAACCAATTAATTTACACCTATTGGGATTTTTTTTAGCAAAGACATGTAGCAGAATACATTTTGGCCTATATTTATGACGAAATTAGATTTTTTACATTTTTCTACTGGACACGTTTAATAGCAAAAAGTAAAAAATATTTTTTTTTCTCAAAATTGTCTGGCTTTTTTTTTACAGTGCAAAAAAAAAAAAAAAAATATATAATTCTCTGTCCTTCTTATTCATACTCAAAATATGAGTGAAAATAAGGAAGTAGTCTTGCACCGTATTACCTACCTTTAAGATGACCAAAGTCTTAGGGTAATTAAGAGGTTGCATATAATAGCTTTGGCTGTGAAAAACCTCCATCCAAACACTGATAGGGATATTGTGTTCAAGCTTGGATCTGTAAGAAAAAAAGAACATTATAATATTTTTGGTGTATACTAGTATGTTAAATCACTTAAATTCACGCATTCACTTTGCCCATTCAAAGTTTCCTTATCATCTCCCCACTAGAGCAATCACATTTTTTAAGCTCTGCTGTTGACTGGTGTTACAATTTAGAAAGAGACAAACACATGATGTGACCTGTGATTGGCCGCTTAGGTACGAGCACGGTCACATTACCTGCTCCTTCATACCTGAGAACACATTTGCATTAGTAAGGGTCCATCTGAGTGAGGGGTGGTGAGTCAATGTAGCTGGATAATTTATATGCCTGGGAGGTGGGCTTTATGCAGACATTGTCATTTTGCCCTGACTGGGCAAAGTGACAATGTCTCTTGAAAGCTTTTTCTTGTGGCCTCTAGGAGCAAGTAGACTAATTTACTAAATGATTTGAGAATTACCCAGTGATGTGAAAAGAAAATTCCTTGTTTATTTAATTCCTCTGCACATGATTAGCTATTCAATATGAACAGGAGTTTGTTTTGCACGTGATTGGATACTTGAAATGAAATATTCACACAAATTATTGTGGGAAGATTCTCAACTACTTTAGTAAACCAGCCTCAAGATTTCCATGCTTGGGTTCCTTCAGGCTGAATACCAGCTGTAACAATAATGAAAAGGGCCCCCTTTCCCTGTTGCTTTTTTAGTGCATATGTAAAAACATTATGTGACTGGAGGAGTGCGAATACCAGGATCACCCCTGGTTTAGCAAGTAGACACAACAAGATTGTACTTCTAATTAAAAAATATACCTTTTGGTTGGATGGCCAACCTTTTCTTTGAAAACCTTCATTTACAGTTCTTGTTACTGAAATGCCTCCATGTTAATACAATTTGTAAATGTATTTGGGAGAGAGGAAAGCACTTTGTAATCTTTAAATTTCCTTGTTTTAATTCTGTTAAAAGAAAAGCTCCTCTCTTATTCTAAAGATTGAACAATTCTGTGTCTCAAATTAATTTAGACGTTAAGAGATTCAGAAATTAGTGCTACCTAATTGAATTAGTGAACTACTGCATGGACAAATGTTTGATTCCTTGTGCCAAACTCCCTTTAAGATGAAATATTTTGATATAAACATAACATTATTCTATTAGGTTTTTGTCCTTGCACCAGTAATGCTACAAATTAGAGGAAAAATATTTATTTGGTATTCTTCAATAATGGATGAATGATATATGAGCTGTCATAGAGCTGTTCACTCAATGGAAAGTTAAAAGGAGTGGCTTCAGCTGCATACATAGGGGACATTTTTAATGACAGAGCTACAATAGACCATTGTGAAAGGGTAACTTACTTGTTCGGAAATTTTCATCAATGGAAATCGATGTGCAAGTCTCCTCAGTGTCATCTGAAAAAATAAAATAAGTTATTAGATAAAGGCCGAATTCCACACTGATACACACAACAGCTCCAACTTATTTGTAATCATAATATAGCTTAGGCAGGTTATCTCTTTCCTCTACAGCCACGAATTGCTTTCAAAGAAATATTCTAGGCCTTCTAAATGACTTATATAGTATGTGGGCCACAACAGCATTTGTAGCTGTCAGATGTTTTTTTTTAGACATGGTCATATATTGGTGGCTGCAATGGTAGAAATATGTGGAACTGGTATGGTCCCTTCTAGTGTTCCCTCCCATCAACTATGAAGATTGGCTGATTTCTGTGGAGATACTGACTGGCCAGTATGAGAGAAATGTTAATATAGGAAATAAAACTAAATATCTATACACAAAAAACATGCTCAGTAATAAATTATCCATATGATTGCTACCCTAAAATTCCACCCTAAAATGAATTTCCCATAACTAAGTTAAATACCTAAAACTGTGCTCCCAGTGTTAATTCTGTAGAAGGTATTAGAGCTGAACAGGGACCAGTATTGTCTTTGGCATTTATTATATTCTAATAATGGTTCTGGCATGTTATATTCTGGCTTTATATTCTATTTCTATTTGTGTTTATAGCCAATATCTGCTTAGCTAAATGGAATTCTTTTTATTTTTTTTTTTCTGCCATCTTTGCATTGTTTGTGGGAAAGGGCAAGCAGATAAGGACGTCAATTTATTAAAGACACACAACAGTTTCACTATGCAAAGTTAGTAAAAAGGATTTACTTTGATCATTAAACTAAGTGAATATTACATTTGCTAAGAAAACTTTATCTAATCCTTTCGTAAATGTCTGTAGGCTGCAGGCAGTTTTATTTTATTACGAGGGTGTTCACTAAAATTTAGCAACCTACAGGGCTCAGGTCATCCTACTAAGCATCCAGCCAAGAGTTACACTTTACTTGTGTTTAGGAATTGAACATGAGTGAATTACAGTATATGTTGTACTTGTTTTGTATTTGTAATTCAGACAATACATTTACTGGTGGCATCTAGTATCTATATAGGATATCTTAGTCTATATAAATGTGTTTTTGTTTTAGCAAAAGTGAACTTTAATTTAATTACCTGTGTTAGATTCTGCAATGAAAGGTTGATCATCATATCGCCCATTACAGGTAACATCTGTTTTGTTATCCCATATGACTGTACTGTATCTCCAGACATTAGTTGTTGAATTGTCCAACACAGCCTTGTCATTTAAATTTATATCTTTTTCATCAATTGTTAAAGTTTTGTTGGGGCTTGGGAAATCTGTGACAAGGCACACCGAATTTGGCAGATTTTCAACCAGTTTAGAAGACTCCAATCTGTACACAGAGGGAATTTGTTGCTCTGTTTCTGCAAATAAAAAAGAAGAAAGAAGAAAATTGAGTATCTAATTCCTGTTCAAAGTTATCAGGAAATCTATTTGTTAAATATCTTAACATTAACTATAAAGCAATATCAAGAAATGTGTCTTTTGTAGTGGTGACTGTCTTTTCTTTAGTTATGTCTTCCAAGTAAATTAGCCAAAAGCATGAAAATGAGTCTCAAGAAATGAAAATGATATAGTATCAACAATTAAAAGAAGTACAGTTCATGCAAACATCGTGTTTAGACTTTCTTGCCTATTATCTTACCACTGCCACATTTATGATTTTACTAAAACAGTATTGTTCTTACTCAATCTATTCATATATTTTAAATAAAAAATGCAGATAAAGTCCACTACTGCAAAAACTAGGATATCACGCTGACTCCTGAGCTGGTATATACAAAAGCTGGATACACTATTATGTATAATATGAACATAATCGAATTCTGATAATTTAGAATAGCAACATAAAATCATACATAGCTAGTTACAACTTCAATGTATAGGTTATATATGTTGGCTATGCAAGCATCACTTCTTTGACAACTTTAGCCTGCTTCAATGAGTTGCACTGCATAAATAACCAAATGAATAAATGTAACCTACTACCAATAATTTCCATCAATGCCATGACATGATCTTTTGCATTGGTGGCAGGCCATCTCAATCCATTTCGCTGCTAATGCAATAAATTGCTGGCTGAAAATGGTTACAATTGCCTGAAAATGTGTATGCGACCAGTTTAATGATATTATACTGATAAAACTAAATTATATACCACTTACTTGACAATACTAGCAGTTTAGTTCCTTTGCCAAATGTGATCTTATTTGTGCCATAATCAACACAATGCCTACCACCCCAACATAAACATTATGGTATAAACATAATGAGTGACCCTCAAAGGCAGTACACACTTATTTAGTGTATCAAAAACTGAATTTTACTGTGGCATTTGTGCAATAATAATATTAATCTATGCTATACATAGATTCATTACTATATGTAGACACATGGAAAAGATATCAGATATATTACTGCTTCAATTTTTCTGAAATAATCTATCATGCATGGACTCACATGCTATGATATAAATCTTCCTTAAGTGTGATGCAACAATAAAATGAAAGGGCACAATATTAAGTAAAGATAACTAATCCCCATATGAGAAACCCAGCCACATAAGACTTACTTAGTGTAACAGACAAGATCGTTCCTCTGGCAAATATTAGTTTCTTTAGACCCTCATAATCACAGTGTTACACTTCCTTACACTCTGGGCTTAGGAGCAATGATATACAATGATCTACAAATATATGTTGCGCTCCTAAATACTTCTCAATAAATAATAATTAAATTATTACCATTAAATTAATTCAAATTATGATACATATAAGCAACATATAATTTAATGGTAATAATTGAATTATTATTTATTGAGAAGTATTTAGGAGCGCAACATATATTTGTAGATATTTCCAACACAGTTGTATTTATGTGTTTCATGTTTGCGATCCTCTAGTAATTATCACACCTGTGGCTCGCAAGTCACTCTGATTCATCTATAAATGATATACAATGATGTTTCATTGCCTAGGACTACCACATTTGTATTGATTATTGTATATAAAAAAGTTAGATATAAGTTCATTTATTGTTAACTGTTTGCAGAGGCCAAAGAAATCCAGTTAAAATGAATCTTGGCATATTTCAAGGTCCTTTCTTTCTTTTAACAAGCTTTAAACATATGATGTTTTCAAGTTTATTTTGCATAACCAGTGAAAAGTAGAAAAGTAGGCCTATAACTCAGAAGCCCAAATATTGTTATCATAGACGAAACCTATTTTTGGCATTCATATGAACATTTATTTCTAAATAAACTACCTTGTACCTATTTTTTTTAAACACCGTAAAATTTCTGTAATTATATTACTGATATGCTGCTCTGACTGTTGGATATATTAAAAAAGAGACTTTTTAAAGCCCCACCCTGGGCAGTGAAAACAAATTACACTTGCAGTGGAGCCTCTCTGCCCTAAATGCTTTTTATTTCCAGGGGTAGAGGAATAGGCTGTAATATTTACTTTATTCCTTGCAATGGTAGGCTTCCAGCATGCCCTAAAACTGGTTCTCTGAAGTAACTTCTCTTCAGTACCCTGTCCTGTGGTGTTTAACTCTGACATCATCATGTACAATGCAGGACCTGCAGGCCTGCATTGTATGTGAGAGTAGCAAGGCCCACCATCAACTCTAAGCACTGGAAAGAAAAGGACATTTTTGGCTGCCTAGAGAGTGAGGAATAAAGTATTATAGCTTGTTCTTCTACCCCTAGACATACCCCTGCCTGTGTGGGGGTGCCCTATTGCAAGGTTTTCTTTTTATTTATTTTGATTCCTGACTTTCAGCTCTACATACAGTGTTTGGCAAATAGACTTTTAGACTTATTTAATGCCCATATACAAATCAAACATGAAAATGAGGTACATACCAGGTTTTACCTTCACATTTGTTCCTGAACCAAAGATGAGTTTACTAGAACTGCTATAATCACACAGTGGTTCACACACATGCATTAAAGAAACCTATACTGATAGAAATATGGGGCTGCCATTGCTGTAAACATTCTAACTATTTTGCTTCTTTCTTTTTTTTTGTTATTAAATCTTTATTGATTTTTAAAAGTACAAATCCATTTCTTACTAACTTCATACAATTTTTTAATTTTTCTTACCACTACCCCACCTTGTCTTTCCCTCTTTCTTTTCTATCTTTTCCAGGTTCTTATTTATTTTCCTTTACATTTATTCCCCTATACTCCAACCGCTTCTAAAAATCTTTTTGTTTTTTTTAAATATACCGTCCTTCCCAGGTCTTCTTACATTTTTCCGTTTTGTCCTCATCAATATGGTATAATTCTTCAATCCTATTTATATACTCAACTCTGTCCATCCAATCTTTTATTTTTGGGGGTTCTGCTGTTTGCCAATATTTAGGAATAAGGCTTTTGGCCGCATTTAAGATGATTTGCCTCTTTCTGACTTCAGTATTTCTAAGACACTGACCTTGTAAAGTTAATTTACAACACTCATGGTCAACATACTTGTAACGCATTAATGACTCAAAAACAAACTCATAAAAGCCAGTCAGTGAGCATTCTCAAAAGAAAAGGTCAGCCAATGTCTTTTCATCAATACAGGTTTCCTTTAAATTATACTTCTCATGATGACTAATAGTAGTTTTGAGAAAAATACTTTTTTAAGGAAATTATTTCTTGCCATTGTGTCTTAAAGGGCATGTACATTTATGTACTCATCCAATTATCTCTGTGCCTGGCCTGTTTAATATATATTAGTGTCTGCTAAATCATTCATAAAATACTAAAATATGTTTTTCAGCTCACTCATAAAACCACAGGTGACAAAATCACTGAGAAGCTGTCTCTGATCTCAATAGTTTATTAATGCCTAACCAGGAATAAGCATGCAGAATATTGGGTCAGCGTAAAATCACTAAACCAAAAAAATTGTTTTCAACATGGCAACATGACAGCCATGATCCCCTGGCTTCAGTTCATTCTTAAAACTGGAACAGTTAGATCTAGAAGGTCAGATAAAAGTTAGAAATCTTTATGCATGCGTACTTGTTCCATGTCAGTTACTCATAGTATGAAAGCAAGAGGCTTAGTATAACAGCCAGGCAACTAATGCTTCCAAAACAAAAGCTCAACAATGAGAGCTTTATATTTTCTAAGTACAGGTGTCCATTAAGATGTCTGAGTTTGGATACAAATATTCCTGTGTACATGACCCACATTTAAGATTATGCGCAATGCATTAAATAAAATATAGAAAGTAAGGCTTTGCTACTGAAGGGAAACTTACCAAGTGTTATCAGTAATTGTGTTCCTTGTCCAAATATGAACTTGCCGTAATTATTTGCACAATGATAAATAGCTTGGCAAGAATACCCATATTGGCATACCTACATATGGCATAATTATTCTTTGTTACTAGATTGGAAACCTGGCTCACATTACTTGTCTACTTCTCATGATTATTTCTTGTTAAGAATATAGCCTCCGTTCACAAAGCTTTACAAAAGGATAATGATGTCTATTTTCAACCATATGACTCAAAATAACTTTTTTTAAAATAAGTAAATTTTTCCTGCTGCTTTTTGTAAAATAAGCCTTACGTGTACAACGTGATATATAGAAAAAAACTGCAATCAAAATTATTTTGAATTGAGTTTAAATTCAGCTTCTGCATAAAGTAGTTTCTTAAAAAACAATTGCTTATTTTTTAATTATTATTTGTATATAGATATACGAGGAAAAGTGCAAGCTTAAGAACAGTAAAATATTACTATGTGTATCACATTAAAAGTGTCATATTTAGTGAATCCTGTTATTTGAAATGCAAAAATAAGTAATCCTGCAAAGTTCACTCAGTCTGTTAATAGTAGTGACTAAACTGATATTATATGGGGGCTATGGTACTTTAAAGGTTACCTTAACAGTATCACCCTTTAACATTTTTTTAAAGTAGTAGTTAATGTGAATTAAATGGAACCAATGTGGATAGGATTATGGCATCTGCCATTGCTTATTTCTTTTTAACTGTGCATGGTTTGGGCCTGTAAGTTGATTCTGACTTAACTACCTTGTGAGTCAGTGCCCTGGAACATGCATTCAGCTTGTGAAGTCTGAAAAGTCCTGCATATTTATTCCATGTCAGTGATTTACTAGGGATTAGGCTAGGATTAGGACGACAGCCCCAGATTTTGCCCCATCAAAAACATATCAGTAATGGCAGTGCCCACATTTCTTCTTCGCAGGTACCCTTTATATAAGAATATATATATATATATACATATATATATATTTATTTATATATGTATGAAGAAATTCATATAACACATATGAGTTTTAATATATCATAAAGCTTAAATAC